GAAAGGCAATTCCACAATGTGGGGGAAGTATCGCGATCTCCACGTGTCCCTTTGGATGGTGGACGGATCAGCATTTCTGTCAGCATTCATTGGTGAACCTTCACATCCTGCCGTCTCACAATATGAGGAATATACGGCATTGTACTGGCCAGAAGATTGGGACACCTTGGTGAAGACATCGATGTCTTCATGTATCTACCATATTGATAGCAGATGACAGGCTGCTATGCCTTCTGTGGATCCCTCCGTGGAGGACCTGAAGGAAGAACTATTCGGGATGATTCAGGCGAGACGCTCGCAAGCCGGTTCTCAACGCCCAAAAAATATCGCTCTGAAGCACATCTCTGACACGGTATCCTCAAAACTGTCCCACATTCTCCGTGTATGCCAAACGGTGCGTCTCAGGGCACTGAACGCGTCCGGGCACCCCAGCGTATATGAGGTTGAAACACGTGTCGACTGGGACACTCTCCTGCGGGAATTGATGACTCTGAAAGACATCCTTCCGCTGTATGCTTCAATCGCTCCTTTGTTTGTGCGCCAATCATTCAACTACTTGACCATGCAGACCAGAACGTCTCATACGGCTACCAAAGAATCTCAGCATTGAAGATGACTTTTGTCAAGAGGATCGGGACAATCTTGAGGACCTCCTACATGCCGAAGACATATCCCTCACTGCAGAAGCTAGGAAGTCTCGAGATGATACAAAATATGCCAATCATCTTGGCAGTTACGCCTCTCGGGCCCAAGAAGCAAGGACATCCTTACCTGGGCTTCTCAATGGCTTCCGGAAGGATGCTCTACAGCGCTTTGCCCAGGAGCCTAACAAGGGGAAATGCGATGTTGTCTGTGCCCTTCGGGTCTCATACTTCTATCCTGTTCATGCAGCCAAACTCCGCCAACTCCATCGTTTGATCATACAGGAAGATTCTAAATCAAGCGGGGAACAAGAGGATGGAGGGATTCAAACTCCTCATCCCATCAAGCGACCGGTGGATGAGACAAGTATCTTCGGCAGCCGGCGGAATGCAGGTGTCTTCCCGTATCCACCATTCATTGGTAGTTCTGTCGATGAGCTGAGCGAGGGCATTGATCGCCTGGATCTATCACCGGGAGATAGAGAGTCGGAAGGGAAGAAAGCGGACTCAGGAAAGGGAAAGAGTAAGCCTGATTCCCGGAGCCTTTATGCACCGCTCCTTCTGGTGGAGTACAAGAAAGCGGAAGACAAGGGTGCATCAGGTGCAGGTGTGAACCAAGCGCGCATGTACACCGTCTCCACCTCGAGGTTCCTGGCGTCTCTGGGAATATATGACTTCCCCACCTTCGGGCTGGTTACCGATGGTGCGCTTGGTGCGGTGACATGCACATACACGGCCGCGCCATCGGCACCTCCAAGTTCCACTGCGGACAGAGCCGGGAAGCCAGGGGAATCCGCACACAAAGCACAGGTAAGAGCTCAACTAAGCACATCGCCCTGCGACTAACTTTTGTTCAGGAGATTACGCGGGTCCTCGAAGCGAATGCCCAGCTCTTCGATCTGTCAAGCCCGCTCGGGGCACTCCACTTCTCTACGTTTCTCGCTATGCTGGCCACCGAGCATGCACGCAAGCTCGGCGAGAGGCTCGACGGTGTGAAGGACCGTTTCTACAAGATGTGCGGGGATAGCGACGAGCGCCTTGCTTGGTCCAAGGTCCAACAGTCGGGTCCAGTCGGAGAGAGCTCCTAGACCAATTTCGTTCTGTCTTTATGCGAACCACTTGATGTTTTTGTGTGTGCTCTGTCCTCATTGCTGTTTGCTGTGACTGTATTCTTCCTTGATGAACGTGTTGACTACTCATGAATGCATTTGCCTATAACTGCATGCACCCCTGCGCGCCAATATGCGCCGTCGACATGAATCCCGGCCCTGCTCGTCGAGCAGCCGAGTTGACAAACGTTCTTCGAGCGCCACACGGTAGCCAGTAATATCTTTGACCACCGAAAAGCGACAATCGACCATGCCTCCAGCTCTTCGAGCCATCCGGGCAGACACTAATACTATGTGTGGTATATGAGACGTCAGGCGCGCCGGACGATGGGCAGCACTGAGGACTTATATGTACGTGAGGGTATCGATGGAAACATCAGATCTGTTCCTGTCGGGGACAGTTGTCTGCTGCCTGCATATTGGGCGGTGCGGTGGGAGTTGAGAGACTGATTACGAAGACCTGACGGTACACTGGCATACAGTTACAGCCGCTCTGAACAGTGACAACGTGTACCAGGCAAGTTCGCGCCAAAGAAACCCTCAGCCCGCTATTCCCCGCTCGCGGCGCTCAGTCTGGGTAAGCACCACACCGTGTCATATTTCCGCATTTCCAGCAATCCAGGGCCGGATCTCCGTGAGACCAGTCCTGACATACATAGTCCAAGTCATGGTACTAACCCCCTGCCGTGTTCTAGTCGTACGAAGCCATGTCCTGGAATTTGTAATGGGAGAGACTGGAGGTGCTTGGGATTCCGATAGGTATCGTCACACAGACGGGCATCACTGTGCCGAACAACGACCCGTCCGCCTTTCCATTCGCGAAGTGCGACGCGGGTCTGCACTTAGGACATTTTGACGATCGGAGTCGGCCGCGTCGGGTGTAGTCGAGCCACGAGCAATGGCAACAGAAGCAAACCCTAATATGTATCACGTCAGACCGAGAGTGTATATGCAGACGAGTTCAAATAAAGATAGACAGGAATTGACGATATGACTCCGAGACTGAGCATCCATGGTGTGCAAGGTGGGCAGAGCAAAGTGCAAACCTAATATAAACTCGAGCCTGCGGAACGTGGACGTACACTCGGAGATGAAACCGCCCGTGAGGCAAGACTATCTCATAAAAAGAGAGATACACCCACAGGCGAGATCAGAGAGGGACAGATAGGCGCGGAAGACGAGACAGGAGATCCGGAGCGCCGTCGATTCCCTTCCTCGCGCCGCCCGAAGGAGCAGCCACCAAGAAATTGAATTGACAACCACCCGCACAGTGAGAAACGAAATAGCCGCCCAGTTAGTCGTCTGTCTCATACCAATATTTCCGTTCTCTCAAGCGCCGAATCTTCGTGAGACCCAGTGTTGGCGTATGCATCTTCCAATCTGTGACGCCAAACCCCCGCCCTGTGTTCGAGTCGCCCGAAGCCCTATGCCCCGCATTTCGAATCCACCTTCGGAGAGAGCTGAGGCGAGCGGCCGGGATTCCAGTGATAAGCATCGCTGCACAGATGCGACGACTGTGACCAGTGAGACCAGTCCGCTTCCCCATGCCCGGAGTCCAGGTGTGAGCTTGGGATATTTCAACGATCGGGAATATCAAACACAGCGGGTCGATGGGGCCAATCGGTGTGACCGTGCTACGGGCGAGAGAATCGTAAAGGGAGTCAAACAGCCCCGCGACACCGGCCAAGAAAAGCCAGACAAAGGACCCATCACGAGACGTATACATAGGCCCAGAACAGACGCTACCAACATTAGACCGGACTTGGATAGACGAGAGCAGAACAACAGGGAACATGGGACTTGACGGCGCGAGGCTGTTCACCGGTGCGCTGATCAGACCAGTCTGTACCCTCCTCCGATGGAGCGCACATACACCCAAAGTGCCGCACCTCCCGTCAGGCAGGGGAGCGAGACATACCGTCCGCGTTCCAGCGTTCCAACGTTCTTGTTTGTATAGTATCAGGCGCCCAATCCGAGTTTTCTTGAAATCCGACGTCTTCCAAGCCATGACGCCACCTTCTTCCCAGTCATGCTCGACGGCTCCCATTGGCATAAGTGACCCGCCTTGTCAGCCAACGCCGGAATGCAGGGCACGCCGCAAGTATCAGTTTCTCTGCAGATCGACGGGCCCACTACGAACAAAATCGCATACGTCGGAAAAGCGAGCTCGAGTCCCAGTCAGACCATCGCTGGAGAGTAGACGCCGACCTAAAGCTGAACGCCCTCCTGGGGAAAGATAAACATACCGCCAGACACAGTAATAGAATAGCTGGCGTTCCGCCTTCCAGGCTCTTCCGTCTACAAGCGCCCAGTCCGCGTGAGAGCGAGGCCATCCGCCTTCCAAGACTGGAGATCTTTCATGTACACAGAAGCCATGCCCTCTTTGGACCTGACGGCAAACGTACCGTGAGCTGGGATAGAGCCACGGTCAGGCCAAGCGCAATTTGAGTGGGTCTGCTAGAAGCTGGGAGTGACGTGAGCCACAGCGCGCAGAACGAGCAGTTGCAACACAAGTCGAAGACTGCACCCAGGACGCGTCCGAGAAACAGGACGTCCCGAACACACACGTCAGGATAGGATCTGATCAGCGCCAAGGTGCAGTCGCTGTATACTCGGTCGCAGTTGGGCATATTAGAGATTGCTTGATATTGTGGAGAGGACGAAGCAAATCGAATCGCCGACTCGAGTCGTCGGGCAAACTCGGGACTGTAAACTCGCACACGCAATATCGCCCATTCAACTTCGCACCCTTATAGTTCTCGTCCAATCTACACACGAAAGCATAAATTGCACGGAGCGCCGCAGCGTGTACTTGCACGTGTGATTGTACACCTATCCTGTGGCTACTATAAACGTTCCCGAAACGTGCCGTCAAGGTCGGCAATTGCCGGGCATCCGACAGACCTTTTGCGGCGCATTACCCACGGGCTCTGGGCTGGGCTCAGGCTTTCAGGCCCGAGCCCAAGCCCTCAGGCAAACTGGGCTTGCGCTTGGGCCGGGCCGGGTTTTTGAGGGCCGGGTTGGGCTGGGTACCGGGCTCAAGCCCTGGCCCAGCACATCACTACTCGCGCCGCCCTCCTCGGGTACCTAGGGTAGCTAGTACAGCTAGTCGCGAGGAAGTGCAGATGTCAAGTAGACAAGTCCATGATACGCCGAAGAACCCCCCCCCCCCCAATAAGCTACGGACGTTCCCCGACACTCTCCAGCTGGCTAATTCTAGTTTGTCGTTGAGCTCCATATAACGCATATACAAACTCCAGATGACAATCTCGGAACCCAGCGCGGACGTCAGATAGCCAGTAATGCCCTGGTGAGGCTGGTAACACGTGCCACGCCATGGCAGGGATTCAAGGGCAGACGAGCGGCAGGGTTCGAATGAGCAGGAGAGAAGCACATCTGGAAAACCCTCCGCTGCAAACTATATAAAACTTCACGAAACTTGACACGATTATCCGTAAATATCATCTTTATTTCATTTTCTCTGATTATAAACAAAAGGCTAGCCCCAGACTGATTTTGCGTTGCTATGTGAAGTTACCGTGATTTATATCGCATTATCCATTCATTTTTAAGCCATTCCCGCCGATTATATGATTAGACATCAACATTATATTGCAATTGCTCAATGCTACAGTAGTAGAGAAGACAAATTGAATCACGACCGAAGCATACAAACTCAGTCCAGCCCGGAGAGATCCATCAGAGTGATGGCCGAATTCACGACATCCCCCCCAGCACGATCGTACGTAGCACCCCTGCAGCCAGTGATAAGCGTAAAGTAAGGTGAAGGGATACTTAAATGTACCGTGCTGTCTTGAAGAGATACGCCATTGTTTCATGGTAGAACTTCGGCGAGGTCTTCTGTATGTGCTTGAGGGTGTCCTTGTGAGCAGTATAGACCGCGGCAAATCGGTTCCCGCTGAAGTCGAGCTGCATAACTGTACCCGAGCTCCATTCATCGATCGCGGCGTGAATCTAGAAGCATCGGAGACAGGGATCATGTTAGTATGTCATGGAGAAAACATGCAGGTACTTACTGCCGTCGACACGAGAGCTAACATTGCCAGTGGGACTTCCTTCTCGTCGGGATAATCCTTTGAGCTAGATTCGAATAATTGGATATGACCACTTGCGAACGAGCTTCGTCCTGTAAAGATAGCTTGCTGTAAGACATTGAGGACCGCCGGATGACGGAATGGCTCTTTGCTCTTGAAGCGCCCGCCCGGCTGTCCCGAAGAGTAGGATACTCAGTTAGACAAGGGACAAAGCCACCAAGGGCTCGAACATGGCACGTACACGTAAGTCGCCAGGAAAGATGTATCGTTGCCCTTGAAGTAGACCGGCAGCGTACTCGCCGCATCCTTGAGTGAGACCGTAATGCCC